GGTTGTGGTAAAAGTTGCCACGTCCTTCCGCTTGCGCATTAATTATAGATGTGGCATGTGGGTGTCTGATTGATATGAATATTTTACTGCTTTTAATCACTGCCATTGCCAGAGTGATGGAGCATCTGGCTGTATTACCTGGGTAATTAAAGAAACTGTCTCGCAAACGCGCTCACGCAACTCTCTGAGGCTGTGTCTGCGATATGAGACAGAAGTACTCAGGAGGCTTACTAATGAGTCCAAATTAAATTTGGACTGTTTTGAGGCAATGGAGCCTGAGAAAAGGTAGACGCTGCTCCACATTTCATTCTTGTTGTCTCTCTTCTCTCTGCTCAGCAAAATGCTTTTCAAATTGGCTGGATGCAAAACAGGAAAACAAAGCAAAGCAAAAATAAATCTATCTGTAGTTAAATGTCTAAACCTAAATTTTGCGTTTTCAGTCACAATTATCCTCTTGACTGATTGCAAATCCATCTGTGTTTACAGTGTTCAGTGGCAGCAGGAGAAAATTGGTTATGACCAGATTCGTCTGCCACTACTGTACGGATTATAATCATAAATATCGTCTCATCATGTCCATTCTTTTCCTGCTGGAGCCAAAAAAAAAAAAAAATTCTATTTATAGCAATCAGGGCAAAACCGTGGGGCTCTGGCAGCCTGGTTCATTCTTTCAGGTGCTGTCTAGTTTTCATTTAAGTAGGTTGACAGCACAGAGCTGCTTTTCAACTTCATAAAAACGCTTGTCCGAAGCAGCTTCAACACTTTCCACAAAGCAGGTCTCTGTACTTGGACCAGCTCTGTGCGAGTAATTGAAAAGAAATCAACAGCCATTCTTTGAAGACTGCCAAGCATGGCATGTTGAATGAAGCGGCCTGCGAGTGTTACGGCGATAACACTGGCTGCACCGCTGCTACTCCTCAGTTATGTATTACTTGCGGCTTGTGCGATACTATTAATTTTAAGTGTTTTCTCTCTCTCTTTTTTTTTTCTTTCCGTAGAAGGTACACCTGGGTCTGTTTTTTGTTTTTTAGGTTCAGTCAGCTGCGTTGTAGCTGTCAACTGAGCTTTTGTTCTGATTTATTTTTACCTTATTACTTTCCATGAGAGGGAGTGTATTTGTGTCTGGCTGCGTGCTTATGTACAACTCCTACGCACAACAAATCTGGAACAAACTCCCAGAAAACTGCAAAACAGCTGAAACACTGAGCTCCTTTAAATCTAGGCCTGCTTAGAGTTGCTTTTGAACCATAATAAATGAAACGTTGACCAACATATTTGATATGTATTAATGTTTTCACCTGTCAAAATGTAATGTTTGTCGCCGGTGTTCTCATTTAACTGTAAATGCTTTTTTTTAATGACGTAAAACACTTAAAAACTGCCTTGTTGCTGAAATGTGCTATATAAATGAACTTGATTGATTGATGGATAATTTTCTTCCCCATAGAAATCTATGCTGGCTTAGTGCTTCTGTGTTTAACTGTGTTTCTCTCCTAAGTGAAGGGTTAGGGTTAGGCTTTGCTTACAGAGTCCTGGTCAACAGCCTCTGTGTTTAGCCGTATCTCTTTCTTTGTCAAAGGGACTGATGGAGCTTTTGCTACTGTCAATATTTCTTTCCCTTTGAAAACACGATGGGAAAGCTTTCCTTTCCTTTTTCTTGCTCTGGTTTCTGTACTCCCTGCTTTCAGGCTGTTGCAGCAGAACACCGAGTCTGGTTCTATCTATTAAAACACAGCAATCCTCCCATCTTGTTGCTACAGGCTTGGCCAGGGGGAGAGATTGGTGCAAAGTCAATGACTCCATAAAATCAGCTGGGCTTTGTTTAAGAGCTTTTTTTTTTTTTTTTTTAATTTTTTCACATTAATGATTGCATAACTGATATTCCAGTGTTTCGTAAGTTCATTTGAATACTCACCATTTATTAGTCAAAGTGGAGCTGCCATGACCAATTGTGAGCATGTTGCTGGACACACTTTGAAAAATACTTCTGCCACTTTTACATGGAAATAGATCTGTCTTTCTTTTTTTTTTTTTTCCAGACCTGAACAAATCTGAGGTCTATCTAGATTTTCTCCTCCACCCTGCAGTTCGGCTCCTGCTCTGATGGCCTGTCGTCCCTTCGCTCCCTTCCTTCTTATCTTCTAATCTGTGCGTCGGGTGTGTGTTCATGACTGAACTGGTGGAGTTTTTATAGTCTGGCTGCTCTGATGCTATTAGAGATTAGGATGTTAACACAGTCCTTCATCTGACTGCATCGATCCCATCGCTAGCAGTGGAATCGCATTAATACTAACAACGTCAGGTACAAGCTTTACCCCTCGCTCTCTGTTCTACATCTGCTTCCCCGTCAGTGTTGATTTAGATTTAAATAACCAGCCCTCTTCCTGGTCTTTCAACGCTGGGAGGGGCCAATTTAACCAGAGGATGATGGAATGGAAGATTGCAGACGCTGATGGGGACTGGAGGCTGTGGAGATGAGATGAATCTGCTGTAATTGATCTTCCTGGTTTTAGTGATGAGGTGAATATATTAGGTAAAAAAAAAAAATAAAAAAATCAAACTCAAAGCATTAAGACGGCATTCCACAGGATCTGTATCAGATTTTACAACATGAAGCTGCATAATAAAGACCATATATACTATACTGCTTATAGTTTTATAGTTTTGTGTTTTTGCTTTCTGCTCTTAAATGTTTCAAATCATCAAATCGTTTCATCCAATCCATCCAGGCCCTTAAACCTAACCTAGTTAGGTGTCTGTGACTGGTACCGAGCGTCTGCAACAGCAATATGTTTTAATATTGCTTTGGTGGAATTTGAACCCCCTCTTATTTGCGAACTTATTTTAATTCAGCCACATTCGAGGACTTTCAGGCATTGTCAGTCTCCAAATCTCAACAAGATTTCCGTTTGGACTCTGGATCTTAAATCCTCCTTTAGTAATTTTTGTATGGACTTGCTGCTGTGCTTTGGTTCATTATTCTGCTTTATAACCACAAGTCTGCTTAAGTTCAGGATTGCAAACTGATGACCTGGATAATCACCACCACCATGTTTGCCCACAGTAAACATGGTGGTGGAGTTAAACTAAATACTGAGTTAGTTTAACGGATCATGCACTCTTTAAGTTTCACTTCTGTGTTGCCAGTCAATTTTGAGATATCTCAAAAGTCTTGGGGATCATCAAAATGTATTGTTTTTTTGTTTTTTTTGCTAAACCTTTCGGAGGATACATTTTTCCCTTTCTGTTTCCAAAGCAAATGACTTTGCAAACTTTGTTGGATGTCAGTGACATTGCTTCTCGTCTGTTTGTGAATTTTGTTAGGTTGGGGCTTAGCGTGACATGATTTTTTTTCTACTTCCTGCTGTTGAACAGGCTCTTTATTTTGCTGATCAGGAATTTATAGGGCCTAGGTATGGCTAGTGAAAATGAGTCCAAAAAAATTGTACAGTTGGTAAATTCACAATTTAACAATTACCTAAAGCCAAGCTGCTTTTTTCTTTGTCTTTAAGAAATCGCCATTTGAAAACTGCTTCTGTATTTACTCAAGTTATCGTTGTCTGCTAGCAAAATCTGTTTGATGAGCAATTTTGTTTTTACTGTATAATCTAATTTAAGGCCCAAATGCTTTTTACATCACTACACCCTTACAATAGTATGTCATTTTTTCAGTCCTTAATTTAATGACAATGAGACATGCTTGTTTTGCTCGGGCTTACACTCTGTCATCGCTGAAGAAGAAAAGAAGAAGAAGAAAAAAATAAACACAAAGCAGCAGCACCAATCTCCAATTCTAAGTCTGCCAGGGCAGCAGTGCATTGTGCTTTTCCTCTCTGCTTCTCTGTGATCCCCGTAAATCCACACGAATAACATGGCAGAGCAAAACTCAGACCAAAACACTGTCAGTCAATGTCAGCCAAATTCAGCAAACTGTGACGGACCCCGTTGTGCATGTACACCTAAAATAAAGTACAGCTAGTAAGCACAGCAGGTGTGTTTTGATGGCTTTGGCAGCACATATTCAACACAGATGCTGTTATCTTCTGATTTCATTCATCAGCACGCTGTACGGCCAGCTCTTACATGCTCAGTTACGGCTTGCTTCACTGGCTCATGAATGCTCCACGACTGTTACTTTACCATGTTTAGTCATGCAGCTTTATGTTTAGTGAAAGACCCTCTTCCCGTAAAGGGGTCGAACCAAGCAGCTTATTAATATCTTAGAATATCTGTCTTCAAATAAGTATATGGTGTTTTTATTTTTCAGTAACACAAAACAATAAAGTATAAACAAATACAATCTGGCAACAAAAGGACAGAAAATAAAATAGTACAAATAAAACAGAAAAATTTAATCATGTAAACCATAATAATGCATTTTAAAAATATATACCATACTCATAGAACACAATAAAAGCATTACCACTCTCAAACAACGCGGCAACAAAAAACTTGCATACATAAAATAATAATGGGTTATTTTTCTTTTTTGTGTTGTTTGAAATTAAAATATAATTGTTTTCTGTTGTATTATTGTATTCTCTCTCTTTAAAAAAACAAAAACAAAACCCTATCAGAGGTTTACAGTTTTGTGTGTCTTGCACAGCTGCGTTAAATTACACTAATTAAGACATTTCAATGTAAGAGACCTTTCTTTATAGAACCAGTGTAACGCAGTTGATAAATGAATAAGGTATGTTTAAAGAAAACGCTACAGTGGAGCTGCTGTGACCTTGTTTTTTATTTAAGCTAGGCTAATAATGTCATTGCGAAATAGTGAAGGGAGTTGTTTAATTTATTAATGCTTTGAAAAATGTATGTTTTTAATTTGAACACATGCAGGGGAGCAGCAGTGAGTCCCAACAACTTTCCCTCCAGTTTTGGGTTTGGATGACGTCACGCCAAAAAGAGCACAAGCTGTAAGTCCTGCTTTACAAAACAAAACTTTGGGGGAGATTTGTTTACACAGACAACATTGTTTTTCCTGTTAAAAGGGTCACCATGATTAAATGCTCAGTTGCCAACTTTTTGGTGGGAGCTTGGAATGAGACGACGTTGAGGGTGGGGTCAATAATAAAAATGGCGTCAGGTATGTGTCGTAATGGCTGAAAGATTCACAAAGGTAGTAGGTGCACAGAAAGAAGCAAATAAGATGGCAGCCAGTGAACGAGCTTTCAACATTAACATGCAAGGTTTGTTTCTATTATTGACTTGTGATTATGATGTTTTCTTTTAGTTACATGATTATATTTACGTTTGTTCTTGAGCCAATTCATTTCTGTAAAAACAAAAAACATGCAACCAGGTATGTCCAAAATAACAGATTGTTAAATTACAACGAGATTATGTGTAGCTCTTAGTGGTTTATGATATTTTTTGACCACCAAACGTGGAAGAATAATCATGCTTCTCTGAACTGTAGTATATAAAGCGGCTCTATTTACTTCAGCGGAACCACTCCCCTAGCTACTGAATTACCTAGATGTTATCCGCGAGTGTATTGATATGTGTAACGTTGAGACTAAAGTGAAGTTCAGTAAAGAAGTTACGTTCATGTTACCTTCGAGTTGAATCCTTCTTTTAAATATACCATGTTGGAGTAAAGACACAACATGAACTTGGTTTGGTCAGATGATTGAAATCATGCTGTGATTAAACCCAAAACAAGTGTGATGCAGACTAGTGGTTTCATGGCCTTTAGTTGTACGGAGCGCCATGGGGGACATTGGGAAATGTTCTTTTTCTTTTGCGTTACCTTCCAAAACTTTTGCGTTTCCTGGCAAAAGGTTTTGCGTTCTCTCGCAATAATGTACTGATTAGGTAAGCCTTTCTTACGGTGGCCGTCATTCTACTATAGTATAAGGCTTTCGTAAGGTTTATCCATGAATAATATCTCGTTGTGAAATATCTGAAGTTTTATATCTTTAGGATAGAAATGCACCACAAACGTAACACAGACTTTCCGTAAGAAGGAAAGAAATAAAGAATACATCCAAGCTATTTGGATTATTTCTGAGTTATCACAGGGTAATAAGGTCATCTGACAGTTTTAATTGTGTCTCTTTTGTGTTGGTCTGAAGGGCTAAAGAAGCTAATTGCATTATAACAGTCTGTCATAAGGATGTATAATTAGACACATTTTTTTACTAGTGATCTATTAGCATGCCACTGAATGTTGCTTTAAAATAAAAACATACCTTTCGACACATCCGGTTAAATTGTCGTAGTACAAATGTGCTGCTAAACATGCTGCCCTGATTCCAGTAAATCACAGTGGAAACTGAAACATATGTAGCACAAGTTGATGTCAACCTTGTTTACATGATTTAAAAAAATCCTCTTGAGTCCGTTTGTGCTTTATTAAACCAACACCTTTTCCCAAAGTCAGAACAGTGAAGTAAAACCTGACTTGTCAGTGTGGAACTTGCAAGATAACTAGAGGTTTTAATTCCTTTGTGGGTGTATGTGCATCTGCCTGCTTACAGCTACTTATGAGAGCTATAATGAGGGATTAGGGCTGGAATAAATTAGAATAAATTCACATTAATCCTTGAGTGTTTGTTCTTGTGTAGTTTATTTTAAATTTGACATTTTAATTCCAGGTAACTCCTGGAGAAAACCAGCATAGCATCTCAGGAAACCATAAGCCACTGCATGCTGTGAGCTAAGACTCATAAAATAGACTTTGTGCCAAATTCTTAGTGACTGGGAATAACTCAATACTTTTTTTTTTTCTGGTGTGATTCCAATCCTCTGGCCTGTATATGTTTTAATGAGTAACTTTGATAGCTAAGACTCAGAAATTATGAGGAAAACCCCACAGAGCCCTTATTAGACCAAAACACCGACTCACATTATTCCTCAAAGTCCTGCAGATATGCCAAGAAAATGAAGTTCTGGTTGCCGCTTCGACGCTCGTGTCTCGACGTGCTAGCATTCAGACAAGCATATAAGGGAGAGGATGTCAGGAGCTTGTGTTGAGAATCGTATTTTCTCCCACATATTATCTCAGTTCAGTTCCCCTTCACACGTCCTTTCAGAAAACCCCATCTAACTCATCAGTCCTCACTCAAGCACTGCTGTCTATTTGCTGTCATGTTGCCATGGTTTCCATTATGCCTCCTGCCTGCTCTGCTTTGAAGGACAAAGCACTGATGAGGGGCTGTATTTAGAGAAATAGTAAGTAAAAATGGTGCTGGAGGGTGTTTGTGTACAGCGCCTTTCCAAAGTATTCACACCCTTTGAACTTCACCATATTTTTAGGATTTTATGTGGTGGCCCAATCAACACAAAGTTTGGCATTATAATGAAGTGGAGGGAAAAGGACATGATTTTCAGTTTCATTACAAATAATAATTTTTAAAAAATGAAGCGTGGTCTGCATTTGTCCTCAGCCCTTAAGTTTGCACAAACACATTTTACATGAATTACAGCTGCAAATATTTAGGGCTGAATCTTGACCAAACTGGTAAATATAGAAATTGGTTTAAAAAAATAATTATTTCCTATAAATCTTGAGTTCAGTCAGATTGCAAAGGGAGCATCTTTGAACACCATTCATGTCTTGTAGTAGGTTTTCAGTTAGAAACAGGTCTGGACTTTGACTGGGTTGTTAAAACACAGTGTTTTCTCTAGACGTTTCCATCGTAGCGCTGGTTGCATCTTTAGGCTCATCATCCAGCTGGAAGGTGAACCTCCACCCTAATCCCAAATCACTTTCAGCCAATTGGTTTTCTACCAGGATTCCCTTTAAATCTGAGCCACTTTCATGTCCCCTCAGCATGATGCTGCCATCACTGTGGAGGATTTCGTGTTCAGGGCAATTTGTAGCTTCAGTTTTCTCATTTGACTTTCTCATTGGAGCATCTATTACCACATATTTGCTCATGGCTTTCCTTTTGTCAGTCTCTCATAGAGTGACACCATCGTTCTCCAACAAATCTGTGGCCTTCACAGAGCAGCTGGACTTTTACTAGAAACCTTTTATTGTTTTCCTTACACTTCTCAATCATGTGCTACTTCATGTTAGCCTCTCTCCCAAAAAAGTACATAAAAATTTTGGCTTTAATGTGGAGTAAAGGTGAAAAACATTTAAGGGGTGTTAATATTTTGGTGTGTGGCTGTGTAATTGCATCACACACACGTGCTGAGACCTTTGAACCGCGTCCCTGTGGTTCTGTGGAAGGAAGAAAGGCAACCACACACAGACATCTCCCTTAAGCGTAGTTACTCTGCTCTATCTGGCCTTATCTTTAACTGATCAATAAGCAGGTGGCGCAGCACTCCTCCTATTCTCTCTGGTATATGCTGCAGCTTGACAGGACTGCACCAAACTTAAGTCAGCCTGCATATTGCCGTGACTCTGCTGCACACTGGCCAAGCAAAGCGTGTAAAGGAATTTGTGAAAATCTATGATCTGGAATTGCACTTGATAACTTGTGTGTGTGGTTGCTTGTTGCTAGTTGCTACATTTATGTGAGGGCTTGTTGCTGTCAAAATCGGGCTAAACCATGGACTTTATTTAGCTGACCTGATTACAGAGGGAGAACGAGTCCCTGCAGTTGAGTGAGGAGAAATACGGCCATTTAGTGAGCTGGAAGAGAGAAAAAGAATAGAGAGCCCAGGAAGGAGAGCTTAAGCTGAATCCCTTCACCGCCACACACATCACCCTCTGCGTGTGTGATTCACCCCCCCCCCCTCCCAATCTTATTTTAAGGTTCTTAGGGCCTTCCTTAACTTTTAATAAGAGTCTTTAATAAGTCCCCAGATCATGGCTTGGTCGGTTAGGGCTTCTATTTCAACACAGCTCAGCTTAATCTCACTCTAAAATAGATCTGCCCCTCCTTTCATGTCCGCTCAGCTTTCCTGCTTCGTGTCTTTGTATTTCTCCACTACATCGTAAAAGTATTTTATAAACTTATTGGGAAGGAAGATTGTGTTGACCTTTCTGCTTTGCATATGTGGCAAAAAGTCTATTTTATAGGGTACACCAGGCGTTTTAATGGAGACATTTCCTTTTTTGCTTGAATGAGGAAAGGTGGTTATCATCAACTGTAAAGAGAGAAACGAGCCACGCAGAGATTTTGTTTAGACTCAAAGCCAGACTAAACCACCAAAGCAGCTCCTAGGAAATGTTACCTGTTCTTGGACCTCTTGTGATGCATATTGCTATGCTGTGATGCATCTGGATGTCATACTTTAGTCAGTCTCTTTGGCCTACTTAGAAATATTTTAAGTAGCACACTGAGCTGCCTGTTCTGTCCCCGTGGACCCAGGCAGAATAATTGAGTGCCGCTGAGGCAGGGTAATAAGCTGCACTGCCAGTGTAATAACCTGCCGGACGATGCACGGGAGCAGTAATGACTGCCATTACTTCAAGGCCTGAAAAGCAAACGCGCTGGTGAAGGAACCAGATGTACAATGTGACCATGTGTTTGTGTGTCATGTATGCAGAATTAAGCATAGCATGTTCTGTTATCTAATTCAGTGTCCTTCAGAGGACCTTGTCATTCTGTTTTATTCATCCCTCACATGGTTGCTATTTTCTGTTTTCTATGTGCTACATGGTACATTGTACAGTCTGTTTTTTGGAGTATTCTGGTGATGGATCATTCAGAAAATGATTGCTTAAGTTTATTAGTATTTTGTAAACTTAAGTCTTGTGATTCTATTTTTGGTAATTTGATTCTTAGTTTCAAGTCGGCATATAAACAAATGAAGAAGTACGTATGCAGTTTAAATAACTGCTAAATCAAAGATGACCACTATTTTTTAACATTTTTTGTTTAGATTTTTTAAATAATTGTATTATTTGTGTGCTCTTATACATCCATCTGTCAGCAGTTCACCAGCAGAAAAGCATAATCACCCAGTGATCCAAAATGGATAGATGGATTTTACTCATCCATTTCTTCTTTTGTTTATATTTGGGGGAAACAAATCCTCATCAAATGACAAATACCTCCTAGCGTGTTTCCCTTAGGACTGGCAGTGTAACCAGTTGCACAATCAAAATGTTTCTCTAAGATTACTGTGAACATGTTTGTACGTCGTCGATCATCCTTCCCTCCAGCCTTACCGTCGCTTTGGAGACAATCTGAACTGTGGAGGTTTTGTTTGGAAAGCATAAACAGTTGATTTGATTCCAGATAAATTACTGTTTTTTTTATCATCATTAAGTGAATTATTAATT